GCAGCTGCTCTTGCAGAAGGCTCCCGTCGAACCGCCCAGCGCCGCCGCGCCGCAGTGCCGCAAGCTCCCTTTCCAGAGCTCCGAGTAGTTGAGGAGCGCCTTGGAGGGCACCTCGTAGGCGGGCAGCGGCTGGACCGGGATCACGCCGGGCAGGGGCGAGCAGAGGCTTAGCAGCTTCTTGGCGGGAGACTCGCTCGGCCTCGCCTCGAAGGCGGCGGCAGCGGCTGGTTTGTGGTGGGGTTCCGAGCCCTTGGCCATGATCCGCTCGATGGAGAAGGCCAGGCTCTTGGCGGGGTTGGCGGCTCCGGTCCGGATGCAGGCGGAAGGCATGACCGTCTCCAGCGAAGCCGACGAGGCCATCTCTACGCGGAGAACGGGAAAGAAGGGGAAGGACAGCAAAGGTGGGGATCAGCAGCCGCAGGTCGCCCATAAAATTCACAGGCACCGAGAGCAACAAGACGAATAACCGGGAAGATGAAAAAGCGGAGAAGTCAAGCCCGATTCGGCTTGGCCCGCAGCTCAGTATTGCGGACAAATCAATTTAATAAGCGCCTGTTTTCTTTCTTTCTTTCTTTCTTTCTCTCGCTCATTCCCCCATCCCGGCATCTCCTCCTCCCATTTACATTCAAATGAACCGACTGCGCGCAGGGGGAACAGACCGCTGCTCATTCAGCAGAGCGCGCGCCAGAAAAAGTCTCCGGCAAACTCCGCAGCCTTTCCGTGTGGAGCGGAGATGACCTGGCCTGGGTTTTTGCGGGGGCGGGGGGTGGGGGAGGAATAGAAAGGGAGGCGGGCTCCCCACCCCAGCCTACCCCCCGACCTCTTTCGCTTAAGAGTGATGGCGTGACCCCGAGAGACGGTGAGGCGGAAGGAGAAAGGAGGGGGAGCCTGGCCTGGGGCGAGTTACCTTTGCCCGACGCATCCAAGCCCCGCAGTGTGGCCGCACGGTCAGACCTGGAGAGCAAGCATCTTCCCGAACGTCTCTGGCATTTCAAGCTGACATCACATGAAGTCACTTCAAGCCGAGTGACACGAGATTTTGGCCACCGTGCAGGCAGGCGGGAAGCGAGAGGGAGGAAGAAAGCGGGCGAGGGTTTCTTTTCCCAGCCAAACGTTCAGCCCAGGTCTGGACGGATGGGAGGGGGGAGGAGAATAAAGGAACTCCCCCCCCCCTTTCCAATTTAAGGCACACCCTGGATTTCTTGTGCAAGAGTCTTTCCAAAGGGAAGGGAAGAAGGGATGGGGGGAGGGGGTGTCGAGGAGGGGGGAGCGACTTGCAAACGCTGAAGAGTCGTTTGCATGTGGCAAATTAAGACGGAAAGTGCGATTCGCAAGTTGGGCGCCAAGCAAATCGTGCGGCGAGAAAAGCCGCCCAGAAGCGGCGAGCGGAGCTGTATTTATTTTAACCAAAAGTGGGAAAGGAGGAGAGAAGAGGAACGAGGGTTCAGGAGTCGAATTCTTGCCCCTTGTTCAATTGGGGCAGCGCGTCTTTCCATCAGATCTTCGCAAGAAGTCGATCGGGAAAACCCAGTCGCAATTTAGGACCGGGCAGCCCGCCTCCCCGCTTTGGAGCGCGCCTCGACCAAGAGCCGCTCCTTTAATTAGGTCCTGGAGGGGTAAATACGAATTAAACGCCGTTGAAGGCGGGCGCCCAAAGTCTTGCGTTTCTATAGACCGGCCACCTGCTTTTGCCAAAAGAGGAACGGATCCAGTCAAACCAGCAAACAAACAAACAGTAAACAAACAAACACACGCCCAAGATATTTCGATGGCGAGATGGGGTTTTCACTGGGGTGGAGGGTCCCCTTTCCTCAAGGTGCAAGATAGAGACTGAGCGGCGGGACACTGGCACCCCCCCTTTTTTTTCTTGTGTTCTTTCTTTGTGTGTGTGTGTTTGATATTTGTTTCCCTTTAAAAAATCCTAATAACGCTCGTGAGGTTTTTCCCCCCCTTTTTCTCTCTCAACGTCAAATAGGGAAGTTTGCAATTATCAACGGACATGAAAAACTCTGATGGGGGAAGAAACAGAGAGAGCTAGAAACTTGAGTATGTTTGTATGTGCGGGAAGGGGAGAGATTGTCCACGTTCCACCTAGTGGGTGGGGGCTCCCTGTTTCTCGGTAATTCAGCCCCCTCCCCGCGATTTAGAGCTGCCTCAAGCCTCCCTCAATAGGAGAGACTCTAAAGCACTGCGTGGCACCTGATTTTCTGTTTCAACAATAAAGAGAAGGATTATTGTGAGGGGAGGGGGAGAGAAAGGAAGGGGGGGGGGAAAGAGAAAGGGGGGGGGGGGGGGGAAAAGAGGCTTCCGCAGTAGGTAAAGTAAGGCCTGA